ATGTTCGTACGTATACACCATAATATATAGAACGCGCGCTCCATGCATATGTGAGTAGCTCGGCCACTCCTATCCAGATAAAAATATCAATAGCGAGGCGCTAACAGTTTAGGACGCGTAACCAAAACTTACTATATACTGAAGTGAATGTCAATATACAAATGGAGGTAGTACTCAGCACAGTACGCAAGAGAGATGATCCCGCATAGGTGTGCGACAGGCTTAGAAGTCAAAATGAGCCAGGCCTATTGAACGATATAGATAGCTATCAGGCATAATATATTGTCAACTATACATAAATATCTGAGCACACTGCTGTCCCATCCACGGTCAAAACATACTGTGGAGATAAATATTAGACAAGATATTCTGAAAAGAGAACTAGACACTAAAGGCATATAGTACTTCACGGGATGAGTTCAAACTTGTATGTACTAAGCAGTAATATGTGTGAGGCGAGAGAAGACTTCATAGACACGACACTGACTCCAATTATGAGTGGACCGACCTCTTTCTTGAGACCCTTACTCAACATTAATTCTACTCCGGTGTCGCAGATCATCTATTAACATATGGTGTCAATTTAAATTAACATTGAAAATATGAAATGTTTACGTCATCTGACAGTTATTCATTATACATATATAATTGTAACACCTCATTAACAATGGGTTGTATGACCAGATACCATTTAGAGATCGTATAAAACAATGCAACGTATTATACAATTATTTTATATTATGTAGGTACATACTAGGAAAGTGCGGTCGAGGTACAAACCGGTCACTCACGGATTAGTACCTTCCTCAATAAGGAATATGTACAAAATGGCATGTGAAGATCAGAGCGTCAACTCTACCAAGCTTGACGAGTGTTCGTAGTTTACTGAGATCATCTCTTTCCGAAACAATTCTATTTTACGTTAAAGTAAGAAGTTTCAAATATGTATATATATATAGAACTATAAATAAATATAAATGTGTATATATATATATAGAACTATAAATAAATATAAATATGTTTATATATATATATATATATGTATATATATAACTATAAATAAATATAAATATGTGTATATAGAACTATAAATAAATATAAATATGTATATATATATATATAAACTGTATGTATCATGAATATCATTTACAAATAAAGATGGATGAATGCGTGTATTGTGTTATTGAGGAGAGGGTTCTGGCAAAATATGGCATAGGTTATGGTGTGCTTGTGTAACTTTGGCAGGGGGTGTTCATGTGGGATGGGGAACACTCAAAGATTTTTATTCAGGAACATTATTTTTTCAACAGTTTTTGGATTGAGCCGATTTCTTTTCTTGCTTACAATTTCCCCGCATTTTGAAAACACTCGCTCAGATGGAACCGATGATGCTGGCATGCATAAAAATTGTTTTGCCAGTTTGAACAGATTGGGATACACATTTTGATGGTCCACCCAGTATGCCAGTGGGTCTTTCGATCTTTCCAGCGGTGGATCAGTCATGTACCGCTGCACCTCCACTGTAGCATCTGCTGTGGCATTCCTTGCCGTCCTCGCTTCAGAAGCATCTCTGTCCAGAGTTTCCCAAAGGTTAAGACCTGAAAGACAAACATGACTGTAATCATCAGTACTGAAAGGTTTCAATGTGTATCCTTTTTTACTTGTACTTATTTTGTCCTGCATTTTATCAATTAACTATTTATAACATTACCTGTGGATGATGGATTGTCAACATTTGCTGGTGCCGGTTGAGCTGATGTGGAGGGCTGTTCTTCTGTAGGTGTGTCAGGTTTGCGTTTTTCCTCAGCAAAATGCTGTCAGTCGTTTAACTGATGCCGCTGCCTGTACTTGATTGTAGAATCCAATAGTTTTGAATCTAGGATCCAGCAGTGTTAACAGGGTCAATGCAGTTTGGCTCTCCGTGGTGTCAAACTTGTTTTGCATATTTGACACCATGTTCTGTCCCAGTAGTTTTGCTGTGTCGTGGCTTGTTTTTCCAATTGTGTCATACAAGTATAGCATTAACATTTTCGTCATTGGGATGATCTTGGACCCTGAGACTCTCTTCTCCTCGGAGAGTTCCACTGTTGCCTGGAAAAAGGGGGAGAGCAATTGCAGGCATGCATCTGCTGTTTCATAGTCCTCAGAGGACAGAGGTCTCACGTCTGTTTTCAGCGTCTTAAGAGCTGCCCCCACTGACTGCCTCTCTTTGAAAAGGCGTTGTAGCATTAGGTAGGTACTGTTCCAGCGGGTGTCCACCTCCTGAATAAGCTTCAGCACAGGGCGATTCATCTGCTCCTGCACTTCTCTGAGCTTCTCTTTTGCTGTTGTGCTGGTTTTAAAGAACGTGACCACTTTTCTAGCCCTTGTGTGTAGGTCTTGTAGGCCAGGAGTTGCATCCAGAGATTTCTTCACCACTACATTTAGTGAATGAGCAAAGCAAAGTGCATGTCTTAGATTTAAACTTCTGACAGAGGCAACCATATTTGCTTCTGCATCCGTCACAATTGAGGTCACTTTGCCTTCAGTGCCCCATTCCTCCATGAGAGACCTCATTGCAGCAGTGATGTTAACCGCTGTATGAGCTTCAGGGAAAGGCAGTACTCCCAAAAGCACTGTGGCTAGCTTCGCAGAGTCATCCACATAATGGCAGGTCTCTGCTTGATATGCGTCCATATTAATGGAGGTCCACATATCAGCAGTCAGGCTCACAAGCCTCTACCCTCTGCATGACAGCCTTGGCCTTCGTCTTCTCCTCCTCATAGCGCTTTACCACCATCTCCTTTAGAACCCGTCTGGATGGAATAGTGTATCTAGGATCAAGCAAGGCCACAAACTCCTTGAAGCCACAGTCATCCACGATGGAAAAAGGCTGCGAGTCTTTCACCACCATATTCACAAGAGCCCCATCCAACTCTCGCTTCCGGTCCACTAAGACAAAGAAATAAAGACATAAAGAATAAAAACAAAACCAAAAAAAGCAAATAAGGATTTATGTGAAATTGTACTCAAAGGAAGCAGACTTATGAGTCATGGAATACAGTCATAGCATATTGTGTTAGTGTTACTAGTTAATAATAATATTATGCATACCATGTATGTTCCCCTGGTTTACAGCAGCTCCATGTTTGGCAGTGAAGTGCCTAGTCATGGAGGAACTATTCCCATGATACTTCAGTTCAGTTGAAGACACCAAGCACTGGACCTGTAGAGAAAGGCAGTTGGAAATAAAAATACAATTTCAGTCTATAGAGCTATAGCCTAATGGCTACATTGATCATATACATAATTTTACTTGAATGCTACTTAATATAGATTTGAGATAAACCATAGCTATAATACTGTAGTTGACCTACCTTATCATGCGCAATCAGATTGAAGTGATCCCACATCTCAGAACTACCTCTCTTCCTGGCTGGCTCCATAATGATCCAAACGCAATACTAACAACTCAACAGCAACAAGGCAAACTACGACGACAATGACAATCCCACAAATTGCCAAATTGTGAATTTTTTTGAGCGGTTATAAAGTGTCACTTACTAAGTAACGCTCAAATTCAAACAGTTTCAACCAGTCAGAATCGAGACGAGGCAGTGCATTGAATCACCTGATTGGACGGCGAACCAGGGAGTTGATTCATTCAGGAAATGCACAGTTACGATCAACGTCTTGCTAGTGCGTTGCATGATGGTCGGTCATTTTGTCCGACTTGCTCTGGAGGCTCGCCTACATGAGACGTTGAACGTCTCATGTAGGCGAGCCTCCAGAGCAAGTCGGACAAAATGACCGACCATCATGCAACGCACTAGCAAGACGTTGATCGTAACTGTGCATTTCCTGNAGCAATAATAATTGGGAGGGGGGGCGCGGCTGTTCTTATGTTCTCTGAGGGGAGGCTCACCTACCCACACTTTGAAAACCCCTGGTCTAGAGAATGCACCAGACAGCATCTAAGACCTGCAAAAATCTAAATGTTCTAGGGGGAGGCCCCCTAAACCCTTCGTGCGTCATTTCGTCCGCGTACATTTTTCAGGGCAATCTCTATTGGGCTCAGGGTCATCTGTAAATTAGCTTAGATGGCCCACAGGGCCATCTCCCAAAATCCTTAATGTCATGCACTGCCACTGAGACAAATGTAACATTTGTGATATTGGGCTATATAAATAAACATTGATTGATTGACAGACAGACAGACAGACAGACAGAGAGACAGACAGACAGAGACAGACAGACAGACAGACAGACAGAGAGACAGACAGACAGAGACAGACAGACAGACAGACAGACAGCAGAGAGACAGACAGACAGACAGACAGATGCCATTTCTACACTGTAGCTTTGTGCATATGATAAAACCTTTGAATCTTGAATCTCACATACTTTGGAGATGGAGTAAAGCAGATATGATGGATTCATATTAAAGTGTGTATTAAAGGAGACTCACACGTTGTCCCCCCTCACGATGTAGAGGCCCAGCACCACCTGCTCCACGCCCTGATTCGAGCTGAACACTCGCTCGTGGCTCTCGTCCAGAATCAGGTTGATGGTCTGATCGAAGCCCTTCAGAGTGCCCTGAACACACACATAAGCACACACACACACATACATTAACACACAAAATAACACATAAGCACACACACATTAACACATCAATCAATCAACAACTTTATGAATGGGCATAACACAGGCAGGAACAGGTGTAAGCACACACCAACATTAACAGACAGAGAACATTAAGCAATGTATGTGATCATAATGAAATATGTGGAAATGGTCCGAAAAAGGAGGAACGGTGTACTGAAACATTTTAAAATTAAAATTAAAAATGATGTGAAAATGATTAAATAATTATTTACAATGAATGCAAAAGAAATCAGAAAATTATCTGATAAAAGCTACTTTTCCCCCCAAAAGATATCAGACACAAAAAAAAATATGTACAATTAATTTTTACAATTGCAAAAATATTTTTTAACTTTTCCCTAAAACATTTTGAGATTGTCCGAAGCATTTATTAAAATGTTCCAAGAAATGTTTAAGAAGATATCTAAAATGTGTGGAAAGCAATCTGTGATCATTGTCTGAAAATGTCTATACAGGGTTCATACACTTTTTCACCAATGATTTTCAATGACTTACGTTTCATTACGATACAGAATTTATTATCATTATAGTATTACTATTTCGGCGATTAGCTCAAATATAAATTATATTTGATGCAACTTTAGTTACATTTCCATGACTTTTCCAAAAAAATACCAGGGCCTGGAATTAAAATTTTGAATTTCCATGACTTTTCCAGGTTTTTAATGACCGTATGAACCCTGACTGACAGAGAACATTATACTGCACATTAAATATATTTACTTAACTACGGTATTGAATGCAGGACTTGTACTTGTTGTGGAGTTGTATCACTGTGTGGTTTAAGTACTCTTACTGCAGTGATGTACCTGATTTCTACCTGAACATCAGGTGTGTTGTTTGTGTGTTTGAACTCACCACGATCATCCTGCCGTCTGACGTCACGATGGCCACAGTTCCTGATCTCAGAGTTAAAGAAACATTTTCTTCACAAAATACAGGATTTTTTCTTATTTTGAAATCAATGTAAAGAGCAATCGATTAACCAAATGACTGTAGTGTTTGTGCTAAGGCTTTACGGTGCTGTTTATTTATATATCTGCTCTAGTTGCCCATGTATATGTACACAGATACAGGGCTAACATTGTGTAAAATGTCATTTCTAAATGAATATAACCATTTATTGCAGGAAGACCCGAAAAAACATACAAATGTGAACTTATTGTTTTACAAACTCAGGTAAAACACTTAAACTAACATTATTAAATTAAAGAAAATGAACCCTAATACATGACTAACTTTACACAGCATCTCTTCTCTGATAAACAGAGACACTACGTCACTTTCTCTACCTGAATGTACTTCTGTTTTAAATGATAAATAACTTTTTTCTTCGTCTCTAAACTTTGCTGAAACAACGTAAATAAAGGAGCTCTGATTCTGGTTCATAGACAAGAGAACTCCTAGCATCGATGCTAAGCTAACTAGCATGCTCTCATTCATTCAGACGGCAGCATGTTAGCACCAGGATACGGTTGATGTAGCTCTCCAGGGCCGTGGACATGTTCCTGCTCTCCGGGTTATTTATCCAGCAGCAGAGAGGTGGTCGGTTTGTATTTACACCGGTTAACGGTGAAACGTAGCAGGAACGTAACGGAGAAAAACAGAAGCTAACGGGAGCTAATGGAGAACAGACCGAGTTAATCCAGCGCAGAGTCACCGAGCAGAGAGGAGAGCGGAGCGACTAACGTAGAACGTCACTTCCGGTTGACGTTGATAAATGCTTCTACACTTTGAAAAGACCCTAAATAGATATTATATAAATTCAGAATAAAACGGTATATTTTCAAAATTCGGAGAATTGTTTTCTAGAAACAAATATGGATTTTTTTTTAACAAAACTTTGATAAATGTTTTCACACTCTGAAAGGACTTACAGGAAACACATACATACTGTATTGGTAAAGGCAATACATACAGTATGTAAAGAAGAGGATTCGAGCCACATGAGTAACATGTTTTCAGATGTGACCAAAATAAATAAATGGGTTCCGACTTAAAGGTGACATGTCATGGCCATTTCTACTGATCATAATTCCATTGTTGAGGTCTACTAGAATATTTATATTGTGCAATTTTCCAAAATCTCATTAGTTTCTCATACATCATCTCTGTATAGTATGTGTATTCACTAGGCTTGTTTGAGACGAGCTGCGGCTCGCCTCGAAAGTAGACGAGAATAGCCGATCGCAGCCGGGGGAGGTCTCAAAAAGATCGCCTGAAGTCGGACAGCTCGGAGTCGGCCTCTTCTTCTTCTCTCGGTTTTTTGGCGAATTACAAACAACTTTAAGGTGCATACCGCCACCTCCGGAGTCGGCTTGACTCGGTTTGCATTTATAAAGAATGCACAAATGTGTTTAATCGTTAATGTCAGATATGTACTAAGTAAATACATTTGTTCCTGCTCAAGATTAGTTTCAACTTTATTGTTATTGTACATATTACAGGTACTGAGACAACGAAATGCAGTTTAGCTTCTAACCAGGAGTGCAACAAGCAGTAAAGTGAAAAGTAATGTACACAATCTACAGAATAAAAGATAGAATGAAGTGAATGATGAATAAACAGTGAGGGGTATGAATACACTAGATATACACAGCAGCCTGTGAGCAGTATGAACAGTGTGTATGAATATGCTAAGATATATAAAGTATGAAAACGGTAAGCAGTGCAAGTATAGTATAAAATATTTAGATATTAATTTCATGATGATAAACATTGTGGAACAATGATGAAAAATGTGACGGAAGTGGCGACGTAAAACTGACACAAAACAACAAACTTTTGCCGAGACATTGGAGAGTTTCATCAGCATGCAGCACGGGGTAAAAACATAGACTGTATACAAATGGACGTAGGGTCCGTGACGTCACCGACGTCACCCACAGAGGACCGCAGTGACGCGTCATAAAACCCGGAAGTAAGTTAGCATTTTTAGCACTTCCGGTTCCTTCCTCAAAAAGCAATGCATTTTTTCCATAGGGTTTTGGAAAATAGCTCGAAATAAGGTCTGTGGTTGACACAAATTTAAGAGATAAGTCACGTTTTGTTCTACGACATTAAATACATCAGCAGTTACCCCACTGGTGATTTTTGAAGAGTTTACGTGTCTGAAAAACGATGGTTGTTACCGAGTGGCTGAATAGAGAACC